CCCCAAAACCCCTTATCAAAATTTTGAAAAATCGAAGCATTTAAGATATTATTTGTAATTAATAAATCATTGGTTTGAAAATGCATAAACGCAATAATCTTAATAATTAATAATAATATATACTTAAATTTGAATTAGATGAGATTCTACTACTAATATCTCTTAATTACCTTAGTTCTCGTTGTCATGATGAGTCAATCCCAGTGCATTAACATAAAGTCAAATATGCAAAATAAAGATCAAGTGAAAGCATCAAACGCTGCAGGATAGCCAAGACCTGCCTGGTGATTTAACCATTCTTGATGAAGGTAAAATCATAGTTATGAAGACATAATTGAATTTAAGAAGTGATATTAAGTCTTTAATTACGATAAATGTTTCATTCTATTTTTTCTTTTCAACTATTATGAATCATCTCGTTAACTTTGTTCCTTAGTTATTTAACTCTATCATAAACTTTGAATACATCGATTTATTAAAAATAAATTCACATTCTCCTTCAAAAATTATATTGATATATGGACCTAAATGGTGACTAGACAACTGTCTTAGTTATAAAATTAATCTTGGTTTATAAGCTTGGTTCAAACTACTTTTATAAATGTATCACATCAATTTATCATGATATTAGTGAAAAAGATGAGAAGAAACAGATAATCAATTAACTATAACTAAAGCATTGACAAAGTATGATGATTATGCTCTTGACTGGAAGAATACAAATATTCATCTCTTGCAGTAGTAGATATTTTACAAGCGCAAGCATTTCAGATAATACAATTATTTATAGTATTCAAAGTTTTTATTCAAGCAAGAAAAGTGATCATTTCAACATGAATAGAAGAACTTTAATTTATGCATATTTTTAATTTCACTAAAAAGCTGTTGTTAATGACATTAATTCTAATTTATTAAGTTCACAAATTAAATGAGTTCTATCAAATCAAAAAGATGCCTTTTTAATCAATTGATTTATTTTAATAAATAACCAATGAAATCTCTTTATATCACCTTCTCGGGGTTTTGGGGTTTTGGGGTTTTGGGG